GAACTCTCCTTTGTCAAATACTATAAATTATAAAATAACCAAATTATTAATTCTCTATAGTACCAAATTGTAGTAAGTGTAATGAAATTCCTTACTGGGCTTGTGTGCCTTTTACTTAAGTTTGAGTTATAAAATAATAAATTACTTTTTGATTATTTAACAGCAGAATATTGCAATAAATATTGAGAATACAGAAATTTACAGAAACTAGTAAGAAGCTGAGCTGTGATGGGTTACAGGTTACAATATACATACATTGTCTTTCAACAAAATATTACATTTATTCAAAGGGGAGCTCAGATATATAGTTAAGATATAGATAGAATTTTACTTCAACAGGGTTTGCATGGGAAAAATAAATGAGAAGGGGTTGAGCATTTCTTGTGAATATTTTAGTAGAAAACAGAACACAAGATAGTGATAAATTTAACATTAACTCACAAGAACCCACTTAGAAAAGTATTTCTTAGGTTATAAGATGTTAAATTAAAATTTATTACAAACTAAACTGTAATAGATATTCCGGATTGTTTCTTTTTCAGTTATAGTTCTTCTACAGGGCCACTTCTGCTGCAATCGAGCTGACCTTATGCGTATAAGGAAATGGTATAAAATAAAAATAATTTATTTTATGTTATTAATTTAAATTTATGATATACTGACAATATGTTCAACATTTTTATAGAATAAAAGAAATTGCAAATTTTCCATTCATTGGTATTAGAAATTTGCAACCCTGTCTTCAAACATCTACAATTGTTAAGAATGTCTAGGACAAGGAGAGAGTATAATTAAATGGTTAAACGAACTTACCTTAAGTGAAGTTAAACCATAATTATACGAAGCTCATTGTCCTAGACGGTACTCCCGGCCCAACCCTCCCTGGGTTAGGGTTGCTCATCTAATTCCTTGCTTTAAACATATGAAGTTGCATTGACGGACGGGTTGATACAGTGTTGCCATATATACTGCTCCCTAATTTTTTTTAGCAAGCTTGGATAAATTATGATGCTGGCATGGAATACGGCGTACTACAATTTTTAAGAATGTCTAGGACAAGGAGCTTCGTATAATTATGGTTGAATTGAACTTCACTTAAGGCAAGTTCGTTTAACCATTTAATAAATTAATTAAACATTGCGCTTCCCCCGGTGGTAACTTCTGATAGTCTCTATTAATAGATACGGACCTTGTTTTGATAACGTTATCTTCGCCGGCCAGGCGGTTTACGGCCATAACTCGCTCTACATAGAGTAGGTCACCGTCGGGTCAGGCGGCCGTGCTCCCGGTTGCGGGTCTCACGGAGACTCGTAAGGTCTTGCACGTTTTTAAACGGTTTTAAAATAATATCATTCACTACGTTTAATTCTTTAGAAACTAAAATTGTTTTTTCGGATTATTCTTGCAGTTTAACTGGTAAGTTTTTAAACATTACAGCTCACACTCACGTATAATTATGTGATTAAACGTACTTAATTAAAGTAAATTTCAATCATAATAATTATATATACCTTGTCTGAGATGTTATAATGTAGTCTACGCTTTTCGTTGTCGTAACCACAAAAGTTTCCAAGCTCCGACCACAAAAAAAGAAATGTGTTGTTAAAGGATATAGTCTCTGTCAACATACAAGACAACTTCATTAGTTTAAAGACCTTTCATGAACAAGAATAGTCCTTGCTTGGGTTCTTAGGGGGTGGGTGGGAGTCTAGTCTCGGACAAAGAGCTTCGTATAATTATGATTGAACTTCACTTAAGGTAAGCTCGTTTAATCACATAATTATACCCCCCTTCTTTTCCGAGATATTATTACAATGTAGATGTTTGAAAACTAGGTAACTAACTGTAAATGAAAGAACTATTGTGCAATTTTAAAACCGTGTGTATTTAAAACAATTTTAATATTTTTTTAAATAAAATTTTAATTTTTAAGTAATTTTGCTTACATTCTTTAATTACTTATTTGTTCTATTCTTAATTAATTAATCAACAAACACTTGATGTGCTACAAACAGTACTATTGAACAATAATGGATCTTCCAATAGAGTTCTATTGTAAAACCTGGCAAAAGTTTCAGAATTATTTGACCAACCCGCAGTCTTCCTTATAATCTTATCTCCCTCAAATGTATGTAATTAGTTTGGTGGCCATTACTATTTTTTTTCAAAGAGCGTATAAATATTTGGTTAAAATTTAATTTTATTTTGTTTTCTTTAGTTACCTAATAAAATCGTTTCCAAAGTTTAGTGTAGATAGTCGTATTCCTTTTTTGCGATCCAAATTTAAACCTGCCTTGTTCGCGGCGGAGGTAGCAGCATGTCTAGTGCTAAGTGCTGTAAAATAGTCTGTGATGAGGGTGCTCAATGTGATTTTTTAAATTTTAAAAATAATTGTTTAGTATTTTGTCTGAAAAGTTCTGTTCTCCTAAGATTTATGATGTTAATGTATTCACTGGGCATATTTCTAATTTACTTATATAACTCTTAAGATTTAGAATTGGTTGCAGTTTATTTTTATTTGAGTTTTAATTAAATAAGGAATTTTATTCTGTACCCCAGAGGAATCAATTTTAATATTTCGTAACTTAATAAGTGATAAGGGTTGTATCTTAATGAGTGACTAATTTTTTGGTTAGTAATTCAATGTCAATCGACTCATTTGGATACTGAAGTGCTAAATAATCTAAAACTAAGCCTAGATTCCACGTAACATTATATTTTGGTCTTAGCGGATTCAACCTGAACGCTCACTTAAAGAACCGCTTTAGCCTGTCATCACACCCCACTTTTGGTCCAATTAAAAGAGATAAGGCAAATCTTGCTGTATTTAGTGTACCATATTATGCTCCGTTCACTCAAAAATTTAAGAATAAAATGAATTGAAGGCTGATATGGATCTATATGAAAAGTCCTGCAATATTTCCACCACCATCTTAAGGTGGAGTCATATTGTTTCATGGTATTTTCTGATAGAGAATTTAACATGATCTAAAGTGCAAAAGTTAGGGTACACTTCTTATGTATGCTTCGCTGACAGCAGCCCTGCTACCAGGGTAAGCTGCAGGTGGGGTGGATGATATTTCCTGTAAGGAGAAGATAATAACATACTATTCGGATTAAATAATAACAATTCATTCACCAAAAGGCCTTTTAACAATGGGAACCATGGTTGTGAAGGCCAATAAGGGAATACTACAATTCCTGTTGCTTTATTTTTTAAAATTTAATCTAAACTTTAAAGAATCGGAGAAAATGCTGGAAAAGCATAAAAATATCTTTCCCATTTTAAGGTAAATGCATCTGCTGCTGTCTGGATCTTTCTTCCACGACACAAATTTTTTGCATTTATTATTAATTCTAGATACAAATAAGTCAATTTCATGGTAACCAAATTTTCAACAATCCTATTATAGGCCTGTTGGGATAATTCCTATCTATGTTTATTTTTCTTGACTCTGAGTCTGTTTTCACGTTGTCTTTAATATTTATATATGAGACATAAACCCATATGTTTCTTAACTCACACCATTGCCAGAACTGTCTTGTAATATTATTTAAATTAATGTACTGTACTCTTCCCATCTTGTTTATGTATGCTATCGCTGTTGTATTATCAAATCTTGACAACAATCTCACAATTACTATAATTTTAGCAAAAAATTTCAGGCCTAGTAACGCTGTTTTAATTCCAAATAATTAATATGATATTTCACTTCGCTAGTCGACCAAAATCCTAAAGTTCTTTCAGATCCCATCACTGCACCCCAGCCTGTCTGTTGTCTGAATATTTGACTTCCATCATTCTAACTCTGAATGAATAAATTTAGTAATTGACATTTGTTTATCGTAATTATTATAACATTTTAGTTACACTACAAATTACTCCCTCTACACAGGTACAGCTGGGAAAACCGATGTTAACCTACCTAATAATTGTAAAAATTCTTTAATCTAACAGTGATTTTTTCTTTCGAAATCTCTAATATTTTCCAATATGTTCAATTGTTTTTTCTTTTGTAACGGATAAGGATAAATCTCTTGAATCTGTAAATATTTACAGGCCTGTTTTGGAGTTAATGTGTTTTTTTAAAAATTTACAAAAAATCCCAATTTTTGAAATAATTTACATGCTAGCATTACATTTTTCCTACATTTTAACTGACAAGAATTAAAGTATACGCTGTCATCTAAATAACATGATAAAATAATATCTTTACTTCTAAGATAGGTACAAATTGATTTCATTAGTTTGGTGAAAACAAAAGGAGCAAAGCAAATGCCAAATGGTAAACAGTTAAATTGTTAGAATTTCTTCTCGAATCTGAATCTTAAGAATTTCTTTAACTCGTCTGAAAGGGTTTAACTGATTAAGCATCTTTGAGATCAATTTTTGCCATGAAAGAATTTTTAAAAATTAATTTCCAATCTGTTCTAATATTCTTTCACTTAAAATCTAGAAGATTTTTAGTCAAAGAATATTAGAGTCTAGAAGACAGAGAAGTCTCTATATATTCATTTATTTTTTTAATTTAAAATAAACCTATAATTTCCATGCTGTTTTGGAATAACAAATATTGGGAATACAAACTGCACTTCACAAACCAAACATTTAAAGTTGCACATATTTCCAATAATTTCTGGATTTCTTAGTTTATTATATTTCTTTCCCTTCTAGACCAGCATTGGTTAGGAGCCTCATATAAATTGGTATTTACCTGAAGTTTATTTTATAACCCATTATCCAGTTTATTAATACTGAGTCATTTGTAATTTCCAACCATTTGCTCAGACATTGTTTTAACTTTCCAGTTAAGTTCCAGAAGTTCCAGTAAGAAAGTTCTAGAGCTGGAACTGGGGCTCTTTTGTATTGAGTTTTCCTCCGAAGTGGCTGACTGGGCAGATATCTCTGTTTGTAGGGTTTTACTCGGTGATTCTGTCGAATGCAAGTAGGATGTTAAAATTGCAGAGGGTTCTTCCAATTTCCCTTTTTTTGGGGCTGTCTATTCTTTTCCACTGCTTTTATCTGAGCTCCTGCTTTTTGGGTAGTCTGTACTGTTCTGATCTGTTCTGAAAAACTCGTCCGTCATTGTGTTCTTCACTGCTTCTGTTAGTACTAGTTTTGCTCCAGACAAATCGAAATATTTTCTGGCAGCCGAGTCTTCATAGAAGATTTCGGCAGTTATCCTTAAAGTATCGCTTAACTTTTCCACTATTTCTCTTGTATTTATATTCCCTTTGATGATATTTGTCAGTATCAATCAAATTTCTGTCATTATTTTTCCCGTCGTATTTTTTATATTTAACAAACGTTTATCTCTTAATTAGTATTTCTGCAATGATGTTTTAATCTCCGGATTCATTTGGGCAGCTATAACAGGTTTGAAGTTGGACAAAGTTAAGAACTTGTTTATTATTTTATCACAAGCTTCTTTTTCTAATCCTTCCATCATTATCCTTGTCCATCTTGTTGCTAACTGCATATTTATTGGCTCTCCCGCTTTTTTTATTCTTCTCCTTCAGTTCCTTAAGCCAAGAAAAGCTCCTTTGAGATGTTATGTTTGTCTGAAATGTATATATACGAGTATATATATATATATATATATATATATATATATATATATATATATATATATATATATATATATATATATATATATATATTGTTTTAATATATTGCCAAATAGGCTGCTATTTTGTGTTCTATATAATAGCGCTACAAAATCCTTGTCTATCCTTAACGTGATAGCTTTAAAGGATTTAATTATTTCCCTGTCTATTTTACTTTTTTATTTTTTTTATTAAGAAAACCAACAGTTACTTCTAAGTGATAGCTCTAAGGGAAAAGATATGACATGTTTATCCCCACTGTGATAGTATTAGTCATCTGAACAGACAGCTGCTATTTTCTTTATCCCAGTATTGATTGTTGTGTATTTTATGTCACATATAGAAGTAGTACAAATATTCCTATCTTCCATATGGTAGCGCTATAAAAATCTTTGTCTATCCTTAAGGTGATAGCTCTAAAAGATTTATTTCCCTGTCCATCCTCAAGGTAATAGCTCTAAGGGTAAAAATTTGACGTAGCTTTTCTCACTGATGCAGGAATAATAGCATTCAGTCATCAGAACAGAATAGTTGGTATTTATTATATACTAGCAGTACTTTTAGACCTTATTATTAATGTTTCATAAGAAGAAACTCACCTGAAGCGGTTGTTTGACCATCTATCGGAATTTCTTCGATAGTGTTTTCCTTTAATGACTCTGCAATTGCTATCCTACGTAATAAATACACCAATGGAGGAGTACTCTCTTTAAAGCCTTCAAGATTTTCTTTTTTCCTCAATTTCTTTTCTAGCTTCTTAATCACCTTTTTAATTTTTTCGAGATTATCGCAACTTTTTCTCTTCCCCATTTTATAAAAAGTTAAGCGCGTGTGCGAATATTAAGGATTAGGATAATAAAAAAGGATTTTGTAGTTAACTTTGATTTTAGGGAAGCAACTAAAGTTGTAACGGTAACTGTTGTTTTAATTTTATTAGGTTTTGTGTGTTGAGTAATTATTTACTTAATAAAATTAAAAAAATGGTGTATCCGCCGGAAATGTATACTTTAAACCTATATAACTAATCTCTGCTCATTTGTTTACAGTACACCTATATTTACTTTTATTTTTTAAATTTGCCTTTCTTACGATTCGTGATGTTGCCACTCACCTGTTTTTTACCTTCCTAATGGGAAGTTATTGTAATGGGTCCGATTTTCCAAATTGAAAGTTTTAATATATCTCCACGTTTCAAGGTCTTTAGAGTCGAATAGTATGGTTCTTAAGAGGATGTCCGTGTGTGCACATGTACGTATGTATGTATGTATGTATGTATGTTCTAATTCAATTATCGTCTCGTATATCTTAAGAACAAAGAGTGATATTGACATGTGACCAGTTTCATTTAATGCATACATATGTGACTTAGACCTCATTAAATTTCGAGCAAATTCGGTGAAGTAGTTTTTTGTGCCGAATGAAGAATTTTATGAAATATTTAAACATATGGTATTTTTTTATTCTTTTCACAGGAAAGTTAGTCGTGTGGATCTTTCGGGTTGCACCTAGACTGATTTTATCCTAGTCTTTACCTGATTATAAGTTACCTTATTTTAATACTGCTGTTTGTCACGCTTCCGCTGCCTGTCTTTTTCCGGATCTTTTTTAAACTGCCAGTTCTTGTTATTTTGGCATAAAAATGTCGTATACAAACAGTACCTTGCACTATAGGCAAATTACTGCTTGATTTCATTACAATATCTATCAAAAATATTTATTTGAAAAAATCTTATAAGTAAAATAATGGCTTTGACGCACAAAAATACGTGATGAAGTTGTCTTGTTTGTTGACAGGGACTCTATTCATAAAAACACATTTCTTTTTTTAGTGGTTAGAGCTTAGAATCTTGTGATGGCTACAGCGACGAAAAGTGTAGCTAACTACATTGTAGTATAATCTCGGACAAGGTGGGAGTATAATTATTTAAGTATAGTATTATTAAATCTTGCCGTCTCCCAATTAGTGGAGAATATTATTTAATATTATAGGTATTATATTAATTCTTATTTATCTCCAATTCAAATTAATATAAGTAAACGTATAGTGATTTTATTAAGTGTTATAACGTTCCTTCAACAGGGTGCTATATTGTTAATAAAAAACTTAACTCTACAATCTTAAATGCTGCTGTAATATCCTTTAGCGATTCACAGAGGGAGGTGTTCCACTTTTTAGTGGAGAGCTTTCCACATATAAATCCAGAGCAGCTAATATTCTCCCTTTTGATCCCATACCCGTCCCCGGCCCGCGACTTTCCTGAAATGGTATGTGTAGCTGAACCTCTTATTAGACTGTGAGGAATGTACGCGCTACGGATGGTGCACGTAAAAGGGTCCCAGTCCCTTTCCCCCCTTCTTCTAGAAATTCCTCCCACACCCCCACTCATGCTTTGAGCGCGGATGGAAATTCCGGACTAACCAACTTGATTGCCTCCTCGTGGGAGGACACTGATATCGAGAGATGCCCAGTAGGCGACTCATCGTCCAGAGACAAGGACAAGGCTTCTAAGAAAAGCTCCTCCGGGTCCGCCAAAAAGGTAGCTGCGCCCGCCTAACCTTCTGCCGACGCTCTCACTCATGGGGGACAGCCTCCGCCCAAGAATGGCGAAACTGTACAAGTCAGCCAGGGTCCGAAAGGTCCCAAAACCCTCCTCCGATAATCATACAAAATAAGGTCACTTGGGACCGCATCTCACAGGTCATGGACAAATAGAAGATTGATTTCTCCGAAGCCTAGCCTTCCGGACAGGGTATTGTAGTATCGGCGAAAACGGTGTACGATTACAAGGCGCTCACTAAGATTCTTCGTGGGAAGGATATCCCCTTCGACACCTACTCTCTAGAGGAGGAGGACCGTCTCCGTGTTGTAATACGCGGTATCCATATGGAATTTGAGACCTCCTTTGTAAAATAGGACCTTCTCTGGCAAGGACTCCCGGTGCAGGAAGTGCACCGTATGGTCAATAAGATCAGAGGCACCCCCTACAACTCTGTCCTTGTCATTCTTGACCTGTCAGAGGCAGAGAAGAAAATTTTCGACATACGCACATTATGTCACTTTTCTGGGGTCACCATTGAACCCCCACACAAGACGAAACTCCCCGGATGCCAATAATGCCATAGTTTAAATCTATGGCCATAGTTCCCGAAATTGTTTCAACCGCCCTAGGTGCGTTAAATGCACGGGGGATCACGGCACACATGAGTGCACCCGCAACTCCTCGGATCCTCCCAGCTGTGTGCTTTGTGGAATGGAGGGGCATCTTAGTCGTCAAAAATGCCCTAAAGCCCCCAAGGTGCCAAGAAAAGGGCCCTCAGAAGAACGCTTCCCCCTACTTTGCATTCGTCCTGGCTCCAGCTCCAAAGAAAAATGCTTGCGCGAAGCCACTCTGAATGGTGAGCAGCGCAACAAAACAGATGACTTCTCCCCGTACTGAGCTCACGCGCGCGCCCGCTCAGGAGGTCGGTTGCGCTTTGCAGAGGGACCTCCTCCCTAAGCCGGCACATTTGTTTTATGTAGAAGAGGGGGCAAACGAGCATACGGTTCACCTGATGTTAAGTGACTACCACCGCCCATGAACATCCGCAACACCAGAGGAATTGCAGGTACGTTGCCGGCCTTTTAGAAAAGAAAAATCGCCGGTGGTAAAATAATCCACAGAAAGATCGTACGCGTAAGAAAACTCCTAGTGAAACATACAATGGTAAACCGCCAAGCATCCAGATGGTGGAGATGGTATCGGGAAGTTTGCCGCGAAGTACCTTCATGTAATATGGCGGCTGGGATTAATCCGAACGATTCTTTAGAGCACTCCCCGTGATAAATGGGATAAAATACGCAAAGAGATGCAACATCTCATCGCAGCTAATGAATTTAGCCGAACGGAATGAACTCGGTCGTCGACGATTCGAGCCGCTCTGCGCTGGATGCGGTCAAGTAGAAGGAGCTGATACTGGGGAGCCCCAGCATAGAGATGGGAACAGTATTCCATGTGCGGCCGAACTTGTGCCTTGTAAAGTTGCAGGCAGTGAGCCGGCATAAAACTTTGTCCCGCTCTGCTGAGCACGCCAAGTTTTTAGAGGCCAATTTGGCCTTCTCTTCCAAGTGACCACGAAACTGCACGTCACTCTATATGTCGACGCTGAAGATTCTGATACTGGCTGAGGCAACAACGGAAGTGCCTTGAACTTTGAGGAGATACGACAAAGGGGTTCTTTTTTGAAGTAAACGCGCAAACTTGTGTCTTCTGAGGGTTAAACTGGACTAAATTTAGTCGCCCTAATCCGAGACTTTGTTCAGCAAATACTCGACTTCACACACAAGTTTATCCCGGTAATCGTAGACGTCCTCCCGAGAAATATTGGCACGGCCGGTGTACAGAGTATCACCAATGCTGTCATCTACATAGCAATTAATGTTGCCGGTTTGCAACGTATCATTGATATGCAGAAGAAACAGTGTTGCTGATAGCATGCAGGCTTGTGGAACACCCGCATTAAAAGGCTTGTAATCGGAGTTTGCACCCTCTACAACGACCTTGGTGTTCTGAGCTGCAAGAAATCTGGTGATCCAATTGCACAATTTCTTGGGAAGCCCATAGGAAGGGAGCTTCGAAAGAAGCGCTTTATGCCAAACCCGATTGAAGGCCTTCGCAATGTCCAAACTAACGGCCAATGCTTCCCCCTTGAACTCTACTGCCGTCACCTATCTATGAGTCAGGTAGACCAGAAGATTACCAGCTGATCGACCAAGACGAAAATCGTATTGGCGATCACTAATCAGCTGATGATCCTCAAGGTACCTCTTGAGCAGGAATCTGACAATGGACTCCATTGTTTTGGAGAACAAGGAGGTGATGGCGATGGGCCTGTAGGTGGACGGGTCTGAGCGGTCGTCTTTTTTAGGGATCGGGTGGACGAAGACGTCTTCCATTATTTTGGAACCACGCCTTGGGAGTAGGAGTTTACCGGTAAATATGCGTTAAGACCGGTGCCAACTCTGGAGTACACGTCCCTAGCATAATTGGGGGGATACCGTCAGACTCACTCGACTTGTGGATGTCCAGGGGGAGTAGTACTTTGCGAATCGAATGATGTGTGAACCGCACCTCCGGCATGGAGCCCTCAAAACGCGGGATGGTCGGCGGCATACTCCCCTCGTTATCGAGAGTCGAGTTGACGCAAAGAAAGAGCCTACCAAACTAGCTTTCTCCGTTGCGGTATAGGCCCGTGAGTTGTCCTTCCTGTTGAGAGATGGAAGAGATGGCTGAGAGAAATTCCCTTGGACAACCTTGGTGAGAGACCAGAATGCACGGGTTCCAGAAGGAAGGCGAACTAGTTTCTCGCCAATTCTACCAATGTGCTCTGACTTTGCCATGGAAGTTACCCTTTTGAAGGACCTGGAAGCGAAAATATACTTATTTTTTTTGAGTGCTGGTGTTTACATCCTGGGACATTGATGGATCAGCCCAGGCTTAGTAGCACTCACAATTACTAGTTTATAAATATATCTATTTTAGAGTGCCTATAATAATTGTCAAACTTATTCAAGATTTTTTTGTGTAATAGATCCTTTCCTTTCCGGGTAGAGGGAACCTCCTCCTCTCATTGACTTCTTAGAGCAGGAGTTCTCCAGGGCTCTGTGCTCTCTCCAACCCTTTACTAACTCTATGTGAGTGATATTCCCAAAATGACGAATGTTCATCTCGCACAATAATACTTATCAGATAGCAACCCAATTAAAGTGTGTATTTGACTCCAAGCCGAAGTATACGCATTAGGCGATTGATGCAGAAAATGGAGAATCGAAC